GGTTGAGGTTCTGGTTTATATATTGGGGATAGTTTTTGGTAGGTTGGAGCGTGGTTTGCTTTGGGGTTACGGGGTCGTTTGGGCGCGGTTACGGGGTCGTTTTGAGACAAGTGGAAGAAAGTCGGTTAGCCGGTTAACCGGCGGTTATCGACCACAGTTAATCGGCTAGCCAAGCTCCTCCCCCTCTCCCCCGGAAACCGACCGATGACAATAAAGGACGGTTTTCGATTAGCCGAAAACCGTTCGGTTCGGTCGTAACAGACCGGTTAACTGCTAACCGAAAACCGTTCTGCCAGCCCTAATTGGAACCCATTTGCCACATGCACACTCAAACCCCCATTCGGACTAGAGCCCAGAGTAGCGCTAGAAGAATGATTCGATTGAAGAATTGCTAAATCAGCTTCAGATACTTGATGTCTCCATTGCACTGCTAACGTTTCAATTCGTACCTGTTTACGATCAAAGAAAATAGAGCACCGGTTTTTCCACAAGAAATAATCAGCAACAGGTTCATTGTAATTGTAGAGGGATTGGCGGATAAAGCCTGCAAATGATCCTAACTTCCAAGTCTGTGACCGAGATTGGAATCTAGTGATCCTCCACAACCTACGAGCAACAGGACAAGAGAAAAGAGATGTTCTAAAGTTTCTTCTCGTCGTCCACAAGCTGTACACACGGGGATAAGATCCATTCCACGTGTCGCCAAAGCTTCTCGAGTAGGAAGAATCCGCTGTAGGCACTGCCAAAGGAAGAAAAGAAGTTTCGGAGGAAGTTTTCGTGTCCAAACCCATTTCCATAACGCCGAATCAATGACTGATACCCCAGCTTTCCGTGGAACAGGTCGAAGATGAAAAAAAGCTAAATGATAAGCAGATTTCACTGAAAACAGACCATTAGCCTCATAATGCCAAATAATATCATCCACGAGACGTTGTTGAGGAAGCGGTACCTGACGGATTATAGCCACTGTAGCATTATCAAAGAAACAGTTCAAGCAGCCAAGTTCCATTGCTTGGAGTTAGGTCACATAATTCGTAGGCTTTGAGCCCGCATTCCCGATTTGGAGCGCAGAATCACGCTTTGCAAAAAATTTGGTCGAAATTCGCGATTTTTCAGTTTCCGGAGTGCGAATTATTCTGTAAAATACGGGATCTCATTTCGCTTCAGAAATTTTGGACTTTTTCAACCAAAACACTTGCTTGAATCCACTAAAAGAAAAGCATTGATGGCCATCAAACTTCGACCTTCTTGGGTAAGACACCGTATACAAAACAATTCAGGACCAAAGTATCCGCTACGGCCAAAAAACGGCTAACTCTTCCTTCATCGAAGAAAAGTGCGATAGAGATGTGTAAGGTAGATACGGAAAGAAGTCATTTTATGCAACAAAATATGTTCTATTAATTTTCAGAGTGGAGAGAGATCAACAGTGCTTTAAGACCTCTTCGGTTTTGAAGATCTGAACGAGCTGCTGAAGAAGCTTCTTCTTGCCGCCGATTCACCATGAAATCCACCAAATCACAAGGCTCGTGGCTAGGTAAGAGACGATTGACGGGAGAAGGCTCGATAAGTGGTCAGTCATATGCGATTTTAAAGATTTATTTGGAATTTTCTGTGTTGGAAACTCAAAATTCTGGGGATAAAGGGGAAGAAGAAGATAGAGAGCAGAAGGGATTTTGGAGAGAGGAAATAAGAAGAGATAAAGAGGAAGAAGGGAACGTGTGGATGAGATAATAAAAAATTTGTCTGTCGATTTATATCTTGTGGGCTCAAACATACATTAAGCCCACTATTGAAATAAAAACTCATTTTCACACAATTCAATTTAAGCCAAATAAAATTGAAAACCCATACTCTTACTATAGGGTGATTAAACCACTATTGAAATCAAAGCCCATTTTCACACAATTCAATTTTAAGCCAAATAAAATTGAAAACACACACTCTTACTATAGGGGGGATTATTTTAATGAGTAGGTTACTATGTAGACAGGGATTTGTAAGTACCAATCATAATTTTTTTATTCATCCATTAATAGATTACATAATATCTAATTGAAACCATATAATATAAACGCTCTTTCGACGCTCTCGAAATACAATTCTCGAAAAATAGAAGCCCACTCTTCCGCTCCCACTCCACGAATTGGTAAGCTAAATTTGAAGGCTGTTACTTTCTACTAATGATGTAGGGAGATTGGAGTACAATCTTTGTGGTACTTGTTCCACCATGAAAATTTATAGTAAACAACAATTTCCATTGCTGCAAAATAAAAATAAAAATCATTACAATGGTACAACTAGAATGGTACTTGTACCAATTGAGTGGTATTTGTATCACTCTCGACTGGTACTCAGTTACACAGCTATATTAAGTAAACATTCTTTCCCAATCTTAACTTCCAAAATGTAGTAAATAAGACAACTATCTATCAAAAAATAGTTTACAGAAATTGTTCACATGCCTTAAATTCAATGTCATATGAAAAAGAACAAACAAACAAACCAAACCAAATTTTGTACAGAGTACTACATGACAACTCTTATTGATGATTGGGAGCTTGTGAAGCTATATCTGAAGAGAAGTTTCAAGATCAAGGACCTTGGAGTTCTAAATATTTCTTGGGTTTGGAAATTGTGAGAAATGCTTATGGTATTGTTGTTAACCAACAGAAATATTGTACAAAATTGCTGGAGGATACTAGTTATGAAGATGCGAATGAGACATACGCTCCTATTGACCTGAAAGTGAGATTGAGTTCAAGAGAAGGGACTCCACTTGATGATTCTAAGTGTTACAAAAGGTTAATTGGAAGTCTACACTACTTAACAATCACTAGACCGGACATATATTTCACGGTTCAGGAGTTAAGTCAATTCCAAGGTAATCCCCTTGATACTCACATGTAGGCGGCACAAAGAGTGCTTAGATACTTGAAGAAATCCCCAGGCCAAGGAATCTTGTTTAGCTGCAATACATAGTTTACCATCACTTGTTACATTGATTCAGATTGGGCAGCAAGTCCATATACCAGGAGGTCTATTAAAGGGTTTCATACCTATTTTAGGAATTCATTACTCACAGGAAGAGCAAGAAGCAGACAACTGTCTCAGGATCCTCTTCTTAGGTAGAGTATCGAGCTCTAGCTCATTTGGTGTGTGAGATACAGTGGCTCAAAGGACAGTTGTCAGACTTAAGTGTCCAGGTCAAGACACCAATCACAGTCTACCGTGACAACAGGTCAGCAATCCATATTGATGAAAATCTTGTCTTTCATGAGATAAAAAAGCAGATCGAGACTGATATGCACGTGACTAAAGAGAGTCAAGACTGGTATGATCAGATTGAGTAAACTCCACACTTTTGATAAGTTGGCTGATATTATCACTAAGTGAGTAAGTATAGGCTGCTGGAACTTCTTGGCAATATGGGAGTAATTGATGTATACTCGCCATCTTGTGGGGCCTAGCGGATGATAAGCAAGGAGCTGATAGCAGAAGAACGGCAGCAACAACAATCATTCATTGCAATCCTGATTAGTCAAGGATTCAATCCATTCATCAACATGAGCAGGACGGACTAAAGTGGAAGAGAATGAAAGTGTCGAATCGAAATAGTTTTTATTGCTACGCTACCAGTTCATTCATTTATTCCTTTAATCTTCTATGTGCGATTTGTTAGTCAATAATGAATCCAAACAGCCACCTGTCGAGTTTTGGTTAATGGATTTCACACAACGGTTATTACTGTGTATTAGCCGTTGAAACCTAATATAAATACTAAACCACTAAAAAGAGGACAATAGGTTTGTTGCTGCTCCGTCACCCCAATCTTGAGCTTCGTCTCGTTTATCTTAGCTTTTCCGCCGATCTTCAATTTCAGAGGGTGAGATCGAAGTGAGGCTGAAAATCCGCCTTAGGGTTTTCTCTACTCCATAAATCATAATTCCTCATAAAATACATTTCTCAATATGTGTCGAACTATGGGATGGTCAAGTTCGAGGCTGTAGATAAGGTGAGTAACCCTATGGTGCGTAACTTTGTATAACTAAATCCGAACCCTTCATTTTCAGTGGGCTCCATTTCTAAGGGTTGACAATTAAAGACTTTTTATTTTTCCGATTTTTTTTAATTGGCTCTATATTTTTGTTCTAATTTGGATTTCAATTTTTTTCACAGATGGAATGAGTTCGTTGTGCTCTACAAAATGAGATCTATTTTCAATATATCTCTAGAAAAATAATTTCACAACGCTCGTTACCATTTCCATACCATATCCTATCTTCACCGTTATTAAGTTGATCCATAGATTAAATGGATTGGATTCATGGATTGGTGGATTGATCCATAAATCCAAATGACATCCAAAGTTTAGGCCAAAATGTAAATTTTAAAAAGTTTAGGTACTAAAATGTCATAATAAAAAAATTTAGGTGCCAAAATGCAATTTTCCAATGATATTTTTGTATACAATATAAATTTTAGCTACCAAAATGTAAAATATAAAAAAATAGGTACCAAATCATAATTTGCCATTTGGATTCATGGATTGATCCATTAATCCACCAATCCAATTTGATTTGGATCAAATGGATTTGATTTAAATGGATTGGATTAGGTGGATAATTTGGTGGATGGATTGGATTGGATTCATGGATTTGGATCCTAATTGCCACCTCTAGTTGTGCACCACAAAGTTACTGATGGAATTCGCTCCCCAAGTTTGAGAGAGGTTCTCGTGCATAAATTAGACGCGGATTAGTTTCTTTTATCATTTATTTAACTAATTTGTCATAATAGTTAATATGTTTTGGATGTTTTAGTTTTTTTATGTTATTATAATTCATTCTTCGAGAAATATTTTTGACTCTCGATTCAAACATGAAATGTCACGACCTATTGACATATTATAGGTTAATTTATCAACCATAACATAATGCAGTCGCTAATGTTGATCGTAAATATTTCTATATAAAAAAAATTAAAGTCCTTACCTTTGATCTAGAAATGTCAACTCTTTGCCAAACTAATCGTATGTTTATGTTGCAATTTCCAATAGCTAGCATACAACTAATGATGATTCAAGCTCGAAAATCTTGCTTTAAGTTGTCTATGGAGGTATCTCAATAAACAATTTTTTTTTTGAGATTGCGACTTAAGTCATCAAGACCTCAAAGTCTTTATGTAGCACAATGTACATCCATCCCCGATCCTTGATATGGAGTCTACCCTCAATCAATTATACCTCAGGCCGATTTGTTTAATGAATAGTTTTAATAAACTTGTGAGTAAGGTTTTGATGAAGCGGCTGAGTTCTGTCCTTCCTAAGCTGGTCACACATAATCAACATGCTTCGGTTCGCGGAAGACACATCTCTGAAGCTACACTCATCGCTAACGAATTGGTGGACAACAGAAGAAAGTGTAAGAAGCCGGGACTTATGTTCAAACAAGATATAGAGAAGGCCTTCGATAATGTCAGTTGGGAATGCATGTTCGGTGTGATGGAGAGATTGGGTTTCCCAAATAAATGGCAGCAATGGATTAAAGGGGATCTTTGTTCTCCTATGACGTCTGTTCTGGTTAACGGGGAAGCTTATGGCTACTTTCGGGCTAGTAAAGGGGTTCGGCAAGGCGATCCCCTTTCCCCTGGGCTATTCGTATTGGTAATGGATGTTCTGTCTTTCATGATCTCGAAGCTTCGGGGGGTGAATGGTATTTCTGGCTTCTTCATGGATGAGAACAGCGGACGAGGTGAGGTTACACATCTCCTCTTCGCCGATGACTCCCTAATCTTCTGCGATGCCTCTGCCGATCAGGTTCCTAACTTACTCGCTACTTTGGTTTGTTTGCAGTCGGTCACGGGGCTTAAAATTAATCTCGATAAATCCATGATGTTTACCGTGGGAGATGTCCCTGAGCCTAGCTTCCTTGCTGCAATTTTTGGGTGCAACTGGAGTAGCGAGCCTACAAAATATCTTGGTCTTCCGTTGGGGGATCGCCCAAACTCCATTTCCATTTGGAATCCTGTCATTAGCAAATACCATAATCGGCTGCAGGGGTGGAGAAGCAGGTTCCTTTCTTTGGGTGCCAGGATAGTATTGAACCAATCCATTCTCAATAGTTTATCTGTCTACCATTTCTCTCTGTTGAAAGCTCCTAAAACAGTCTTGAATACAATGGAAAAGATCCAAAGGAAGTTCTTATGGTGTGGTGAGCAGCAGGAAAGCAAATTTCATCTCATTAGATGGGATACGTGCAAAGCATCAAAACAGAGGGGTGGACTGGGTGTGGTGGATCTCGAAAGTTTTAATATGGCCTTGCTTGGGAAGTGGCTGTGGAAATACGCTACTGAGAGAGATAGCTGGTGGAGGCAGCTCATTGGGGTGAAATACGCTAGCACTGTCTCGGAATGGAAAACTAAAAAGAGTGTGGAAGGGTTTAGCAGTTCGGTTTGGGCAAACATTAGTAAGGTGGGTGAGTTGTTTTGGCAAGGGGCTTCCATTGAACCAGGCTCTGGCTCTGCAGTTTCCTTATGGCACGATGTCTGGATCCCGGGCGTTCTGCTGGACAGCTCTTTTCCGCGGGCTGCTGCTGCTGCTGCTCATCCGGATGCTAGCCTCCTTGACTCCTTCTCACGTTCAGGTGATGATTTAGTGTGTGAAATTTCATTTTCTATGTCTTTAAGGGGTGGGGCTGAATTTGAGAGAGTGGGTTGTATAGAAAAAGTTATTGCTAATTCTCACAGAATCACCAATAGTCCTAGTCGTATGGTGTGGAACCCGAATGCAGATTGTATGTTTTCTGTTAGATCGTTTTACAGGTTTCTTGTGGATGGAAAATTTGATGGGAACGAGAATTTCAAGTACAAATCCATTTGGAAAAGCATGATCCCTACAAAGATTTGTGGATTTCTGTGGCTCGTTTGGCATAAGAAGATCCTCAACCTCGACAATTTGAAGAAACGAGGTATGCAGCTGGCAAGCCGGTGTGTTCTCTGCTACAAGAATGAAGAATCGATCAACCACATCATGGTGGAGTGCCCCTACACTAGGCGGGTGTGGGATGAGGTGCTCAGAAACATCACTTGCCCGGATTTGTCTTCAGGAGACATAACCAGCATCATTGATCATTATGGTCCTAATATTGAAGGCGTTGAGGTCTGGTTTGCAGCATGTGTCATTCACGCGATCTGCTGGTTTGTTTGGAAAGAAAGAAATCAGAGAATTTTCCAGGAATCTTGCTGCCCTCCCTTTACTGTCATCAGGAAAATCACCAGGAACATCGTCCACTGGATGGTGGCACATAAGAAGATTGATGAACAGCAAGGGGCGCGCTTCATTCAGGATCGATTCCGGAGTTGGGGGGCCACTGTTGGGTGATCTTTTTCTGGGCTCCTCCACGTCTCTGTTCTTCTTTATTTTTCTTCGGCTTTTTGTCAGTTTTGCAGCATTTGTTGCTGCTGCCTCTCTGCTTTTCTTGGCCTACTGCTCGTGGGTCTTTCTTGTACGTTATGTTATTTCCTTTTAATAAAGTTCATCATCATTATCAAAAAAAAATATATATAATTGTTAGTTGACTTAGCCACTACTTTGGACATTTATGGAGTTTTTCTAGTGAAGATGCATAATCATTGGCAAGTTTTGGTGTTGCTAATCCAAGACACTCAATGCTCCTCTTGATATGGCTATTTAGCATATGATTCACAACTTGTATTATGCGTCCATCTGAAATGACATACATAAGAAGAAAATACATAAATTAAGTGGTAGTGTACCTTTGCATGCTTCAACAAATATTGAGGTTGTCACCAAAGGAATTTTTTTTTGGGTGGTAAATGGATACAAATGCATCCTAGCTTTCATTCAAAACCAAACGAGGTTCAGAGAGCAAATGAGAGTCATACATGAGAAAGTTATACAAAAGAGGAACTGAACGAGTCATGACATGTACACCCGGCGACAACGAATGCCCATGGTTAGCTAAGTAATCAGCACATTTGTTGGCTTCACGATAAATATGGGAGGTGGTAACTTCCCAACCTTGGCGCATAAGTTCCTGATAACGGGCCACAACGGTCGTATGATGATGGGTGTCCGTGCTCCTGCTCTCAAGCAGCTGGATAGTACAACTCGAGTCCAGCTCAACGCGAACACGACGACATCCAAGGTTCCAAGCCAACTGAATACCTTCTACAGCTCCTCTCAACTCGACCTGGGTAATGGAGCAATAACCCAAGTTACAAGCAAATGCCGCCAAGCAGCGACCATTGTGATCTCAAATCAGGCCACCAGAAGTAGCGTGACCTGTATCCTGAATAACTTAACCGTCTGAGTTGAGAGTGACTCACTCGGGAGGCAGCGGTTTCCATGAGATCTCGACCTCCGTTCTTGTGGGCAGGATAGGCGTATAAACGAGCCTATCCTTCTCCAGAGTTGTCCGCACGACATTAATCCAAGCTCGGATTGGCTGTAGAAACATCTCAGAAGTGGTGGTTTTGTTGTCAAAGACTCTCTCATTCCTTGTCTTCCAAGGAGCCCAACAAATGAGGCTGAAACTTAGACTGTAATCCGGGTGGTGGAGATAACGAAGTATCCAATCCTGCAGGGGCAGACTGAAGAATGCTTGGTGATTAGAAAGCTGGATGACATGCATCCAAATAGACCGGGGGAAATAACATTCTCGCAACACATGCAGGACTGTTTCAATGGCAGCATTGCAGTGCTTGCATCTTTGGGTGGTGGATATATGCCGCCGATGTCTCTCGTTGTTGATAAGCAGCCTTTCCCTTGCTGCTAGCCAGAGGAAGTGTGTCGTCCTTGCTGGCCCCTTTCAGCGCCAAAACTTTTTATAGTCCAACATTTTTCCCGTGCCGGCCTGGCCAATGGCGATCTCGTACGCCGACTTGACACGGAACTGTCTGTTCGCTTCAAGTCCCCAAAAAGTTTCTTATTCACCTGCATCATCCCTCGACGTCGGGATGGCCAGCACATGCAAAGCAAGTTCAAGCGGTAAGAGGGAGAGGAGGAGATTCCCATTCCACTTACCACTCTCTTCGAGGACTGCCGCAACTGGGATCGCAGGATCAACGAGCTAACTGTCATCGCGGATATGGTCAATGAGCAGCAAAGCCGGGTCAAGCCATCGGTTAGTCCAGAAAGAAGTACTTCGGCCATCCTTCACGCACATAGCTATGCCTTCTTGCATTATTGGCCAGGCTCTCCTCATGCCCCGCCACAATGTCGAACAACAGGTCGCCGATTTGGCTGTCAACACACCACCAGCTAACTTGAAATATTTAGCCTGTAAAACCTTGACCCACAAATGATATGGATTTTTAAGAAAACACCACGCTAACTTTGCAAGGTAGGAGAGATTTAATTCATGAGCTTTCTTAATACCCAAACCTCCCTTCTCTTTTGGTTGACAAACTTGATCCCAATGTACCTGGTGCACCCTTCTCTTGTTTGCGGTCGAGCCTCAAATGAAACACTGGATCCGTTTGTCGATTTCGTCACAGATTGAAATAGATAAGAGAGTGGTTTTCATGGCATACGTATACAAAGTGTTGAGGACTGACATTGCCAGTGTGACCCTCCCCGCAAATGATAAGGCCTCTGTCCTACAGCCTGCTAACTTCTTGTCAAGCCTGTCCAAGATATATTTGTATGTCTCTCTAGTGACTTGACCGTGAAGCACCGGCACACCCAGATAACGTCCTAAGCCTTGTGTGGCCGGGATTTCCAGGGTGCGGATGATATCACCTTGACTGGCCGACTTTTCTTTGCTCACCATTTCTCCTGATGCCAGGCAAAATCTGTCCAAACAGTCAAGGACGGCCCTACCTTGTTGTATTGTCGCCTCTGCAAACAAAATGAGATCGTCAGCAAAAAAGAGGTGCAAGAGAAGAGAACCCGACTAAGAGCGATCAATGACGCCAGAGGATGGGTTAGTGTCGTTCCTCCCCGTATTCACCGTGTTGACACACTTTGTACTGGCATTCACTACTCTTGGGTCGTGGGTCCAAGGGAGCTGCCCGGTGTTGATTGCAGATTGACCACCTTTGCCCTTTCAGGCTAGGGTGGTAGCTTGGTGGGCTGGTTCTTGCTTAGACCGAGAGTCCATGTGAGTTTTAGGGGGAGGTGTGTTCCGTAAAGTCGTCTCTGCCTGTCTGGGGACACTTAGAGATTCCTTGGAGTTCTTGCTTGCCTGTATCGCGATGGATTTCGCGGGAGTGGGTTCTCCATGCTTCACCGCAGGAATTGCATGGGTGGTGGTAGTCAGAATAGACCCCTTCTCGCCAGCCATCTCTACTTCCTGCTGAGCCGAGGTCTCCATAGGAGAGTTGGTAAGAGGCTACATTCCACGGCCTACTTGTAGATGAACTCCCGAGGGAGACCGAGCAGCTTCGCCCAAACCATCGTTGATGCCACCTCCGCTAGTTCGGGGTTGAAGTTCTTCCTCTACTGCCTGACGGTGAGGTAGTAATCACCAACCCGCCACGGCCCTCCTATCGTTGCTTGCTCGTAATCGAATTGGCTTATGAATCTGACAGCATAGAATCCATATGTCAAGCTTGATATTTGTAGCGTACCGCATTTTCCTCAAACACTTTGGAGGCAGCGTGCGATTACCGGGAAGGGGAAGGTGCGTCCACAGGGGCGGAGCTACGTAGGGACTCCGGGGGGGGGGGGGGGGGCCTCCCCAAAAATTTTGAAGATCGTGTTAAAATACGACGAGAATTTGAAGTTACGTATTAATTCATATACATGTATATATAATTGTATTGTGCAATTTGATTGTTGAACTGGTTACTTTAGTCCAGCAGATAAGTGGTCTTTTGTTATATAGGAGGTTGTGGGTTCAATACCCATCAACAACTCCTTTTTTACTACTACTTGTCTTTTAAGTTGATTTTTCATACTTTCATACGTAATTTAACTTCAAACTAGGTAAATTTAATTGAACTTATACATTTATATCTTCAAACATAATTTTAAATATATAGCAAATAATTCAATTATTTTCCCATATTTATAGACATTCATTTGTTACTTATCATAAATTGAAGAACATGGTACATTTATTTATTTCCTTTATCTTTTTAATTAACTGCTATACATTTACTTAATTATTTATTAGTAATTTTTATTTGTTTTCTTTTGATACTTACCCTCCTTTTTTTCATTTTATTTGTCAATTTCGTACGTTTTATTTTATTGCTTTTCTTTAACTATTCCTAAAAAAAATTAGTTTGACATAGTTTTGGATTCGGTGTTTCCGACTAAGCTTAATGGCTTGTTTAAGTCCATTTGGTGGAGCTTAGTTGTCCTACAATGGGGACGCTTGTGTGTGTGTGTGTGTTTTTTTTTTTTTTGTACGGGCACGCGGAAGAGCTCCCGATATAGGAGAGACTTCCTCAGACAGGTGACTTGGCTCATGATCAGGATGGAACTATCTTGCAGGATGCTTAGAGCTTGGCCTTTCTCTTTAGTTAGGTTTCTTACTGTTTTGTTCTCCGCTGTCTCAATAGGGCTGCCCATCATGTGGCATAAAAGGCCCTCTCATCGGGAGTTCGACTATTGGTCGACTCCCGCGCTCTTTTTATTTTCTCTGTATGACTGATTTTATAACAACTGACTTTGCGAAAAAGAAAAAAAAAAGAACATGGTGCATTATTTTTTGTTGGAATTTATTTAATAATTTTGAACATGTTGTTGATATATTTTTTAATTTAAATCATACTTTTAGTGCTTATAATTATCTTAAATAACATTTTGTGGGGTGACATTTTTTTTACGATAATAAAATTTTCGCCCCCCCCCCCCCCCAGGAACTTAAAATCCTGGCTCCGCCCCTGTGCGTCTCAGCACCTTAACTATGAGCGCCGATCTCCATTCACGTCGCCATTGTTTCTTTTTCATCGCTTTGAAAGGGATGATAGGGCAGCGAGGGTTATCATCTTCGGGAACCACATCATCCAAGTCGTCTTCTCGCATGGCAGCTGCAACATCTTCTGAATCGGACTCCGCTACGTACCACTCATCATGGCTATGCAAATCATTGAAGAGGTTTCTAGTACCTTTGGTCCATGAAAATTCCCTCGTACGGTCAGTGCCCTCTTCTTCATGGATGCAAGGAGATGTTGTGTCTTCGTGCATTGGTTCCGTTTCAAACACCAGGTTCTTTGACATAGGTTTCGCCCGCTTCTTTGGTTGTTGAGTTTCGCTGGCTCCCTTTCGGTTCGGCGAAGACGATGCAGAGGCTGGTCTGCGAATCCCGCTGTTCTGGTCAGGGGGTCTTACTGCCGGGATCCCCGGCGTGGTCGAGTCCATAAAGAACGCGGCGGCACTAGGGTTTCCATTAAAGCTTCAAATCACAAAAGCAAATGGTAGAAGAATTTTCAATAAGAGAATGTAGTACATTTTAATGGGAACCTTCATATATTAGTTCTAATAAATTGAAAATAGAAGTTATACGTAATACAAGAAGAAAATTATTCTTTCTCGAAGAATATGATGGTTGTAGTAAATTTACCCAAGTAGTCTTTAGAAAAGTATTATGGTGCTAGGAAATTCAAAATGGAGACAACATGTACAAACTCTACTATTGTTTAATGGGAGATTTTTTAAAAAGAAATTATTGAGAGAGCCGATTGAAAAACGAGATAATTTGTACTTTAACAATTTTGACCAATTAGAACCGTTGATTTTTAGTTCTAGATTAAATGCATCTCATGGTTTAGATTATAAGAATTGAGGACTAGGGTTCACCCATTAGAGGTTAGAGTATAGTATCATTCTCCAAACTTCGATTAATTCAAGAACTAAATAACAAAAATCGACGGGCGTATGATAAAGTAAGTGTACACTAGCCTGAACTATATATATGGTGGTTTCTATTGTACCTTGAATAAAATCTATGATACAACACATCCTAAATAAGAAAACACTATCTAGACTTCAAATTAACCGAATTTTTTGACATGATATAACGTGACAAAAAGGGCAGTGAGGTCTAAGGAACTGTCCACTGCCTCCATCCGGTGCGTCTATCATGACAAAAAGGTGGAGCCGGGTTGCTTAGAACTTTCATCATTTTTTTTAACTACATTTAGCTCTATTTTCATAATCGGACTAGAGGCTAAACCAGAAAAGTTAGCAGTTTAGAGTTAAAGTGGTTAACAAGTACAAAATCGTTGATGAACCGTTGATAGAACCGTTCATGATATATAAAGTAATATAACATATGAGACTTGTATACTCAGGGTCGTCCCATTATATTCAGAGGCCCTATTCGAAAAATAAAAACGTGGCCCCAATATTTTTACTTCACAAAATATGGCAGCCTTCACCCTTCAAATGGAAATGGGCTATGACCATTAAGGCCCAAATAATGGTTTGCCAGTTCGGCCTCCAATCCTCCATCCCAAACTTAAAAGTAACGAAGATTAATTGACGAGAGAGACGCTGAACTGAGAGAGAGGAGAGGAGAACTTACGAGTTGCGAAGCGGCAGATCGGAGAGATGGAGACAGCGGAGAGCCGTGCACAGCGGCGCT